ATGGAATGTTCGCCCCTCACACAGAAATGATCGGTCTAACAATGGAATGTTCGCCCCTCACACAGAAATGATCGGTCTAACAATGGAATGTTCGCCCCTCACACAGAAATGATCGGTCTAACAATGGAATGTTCGGTGTAACACTGAGAGACAGAATACAACAACAAATTCAGCAGAAATGCGTCTAACAAATGATGACGGATCTGCATGTTCATGAGGGAAAGAAGGATTTGATCCCCTATCATTCAGCAGGATTTCTGGCTCCCAGGTGTCTTTCATACAGGTAACAAGCTGAGATTAGAAGCAGTCTCTTAAAGGGAGTGCTGCTAATCTCATTGTGTTACCTGTATAACAGACACCTGTCCACAGGAGCCATCAAACCATCAGATTCCAAACTCTCCACCATGGCAAAGACCAAAGAGCTGTCCCAAGGATGTCAGGGACAAGATGGTAGACCTACACAAGGCTGGACTGGGCTACCAAACTATGGCCAAGCAGCTTGGTGAGAAGGTGACAACAGTTTGGTGCAATCATTCACAAATGGAAGAAACACAAAACAAGTGTCAGTCTCCCTAGGTCTGGTGCACCATGCAAGATCTCACCTCGTGGAGTGTCAATGATCATGAGAACAGTGAGGAATCATCCCAGAACTACACGTGAGGATCTTGTCAATGATCTCCAGGCAGCTGGGACCACAGTCACCAAGAAAACAATTGGTAAACACACTACGCCGACAAGGACTGAAATCCTGCAGTGCCCGCAAGGTCCCTCTGCTCAAGAAAGCACATGTCCAGGCCCGTCTGAAGTCTGCCACTGAACATCTGAATGATGCAGAGGAGGACTGGTGGAAGTGTTGTGGTCAGAGGAGACCAAAATCCAGCTCTTTGGCATCAACTCAACTCGCCGTGTTTGGAGGAGGAGGAATGCTGCCTATGACCCCAAGAACACCATCCCAACTGTGAAACATGGTGGTGGAAACATTCTGCTTTTGGGGTGTATTTCTGCTAAGGGGACAGGACAACTGCACCGCATCAAAGGTACGATGGACGGGGCAATGTACTCTCAAATCTTGGGTGAGAACCTTCTTCCCTCAGCCAGGGCATTGAAAATGGGTGGTGGATGGGTGTTCCAGCATGACAATGACCCAAAAAACACACGGCCAAGGCAACAAAGGAGCGGCTCAAGAAGAAGCACATTAAGGTCCTGGAGTGGCCTAGCCAGTCTCCACACCTTCATCCGATTGACAATCTGTGGAGGAGCTGAAAGTTTGAGTTACCAAACGTCAGCCACCAAACCTTAATGACTTGGAGAGGATCTGCCAAGAGGAGTGGGCCAAAATCCCTCCTGAGATGTGTGCGAACCTGGGGGCCAACTCCAGGAAACGTCTGACCTCTGTGATTGCCAACAAGGGATTGGCCACCAAGTACTAAGTCATGTTTTGTGAAGGGGATCAAATCCTTCTTTCCCTCATGAACATGCAGATCAGTCATCATTTGTTAGACGCATTTCTGCTGAATTTGTTGTTGTATTCTGTCTCTCAGTGTTACAGCGAACATTCCATTGTTAGACCGATCATTTCTGTGTGAGGGGCGAACATTCCATTGTTAGACCGATCATTTCTGTGTGAGGGGCGAACATTCCATTGTTAGACCGATCATTTCTGTGTGAGGGGCGAACATTCCATTGTTAGACCGATCATTTCTGTGTGAGGGGCGAACATTCCATTGTTAGACCGATCATTTCTGTGTGAGGGGCGAACATTCCATTGTTAGACCGATCATTTCTGTGTGAGGGGCGAACATTCAGCATCATCAGGGAGAAAATACACATTTCCTTCACTGTATATAAATGTATAATAAAAATAGTGTGTGACTGAGGAGGGATATTAGAGTGTAAGCTCCTGTGGTACAGAGACGGATAGGAGGGGACATTAGAGTGTAAGCTCCTGTGGTACAGAGACGGATAGGAGGGGACATTAGAGTGTAAGCTCCTGTGGTACAGAGACGGATAGGAGGGATATTAGAGTGTAAGCTCCTCTGGTACAGAGACGGATAGGAGGGGACATTAGAGTGTCAGCTCCTGTGGTACAGAGACGGATAGGAGGGACATTAGAGTGTAAGCTCCTGTGGTACAGAGACGGATAGGAGGGGACATTAGAGTGTAAGCTCCTGTGGTACAGAGACGGATAGGGAGGGGCCATTAGAGTGTAAGCTCCTGTGGTACAGAGACTGATAGGAGGGGACATTAGAGTGTAAGCTCTCTGGTACAGAGACGGATAGGAGGGACATTAGAGTGTAAGCTCCTGAGGTACAGAGACGGATAGGAGGGGACATTAGAGTGTCAGCTCCTGTGGTACAGAGACGGATAGGAGGGGACATTAGAGTGTAAGCTCCTCTGGTACAGAGATGGATAGGAGGGGACATTAGAGTGTAAGCTCCTGTGGTACAGAGACTGATAGGAGGGGACATTAGAGTGTAAGCTCCTGAGGTACAGAGACGGATAGGAGGGGACATTAGAGTGTCAGCTCCTGTGGTACAGAGACGGATAGGAGGGGACATTAGAGTGTAAGCTCCTCTGGTACAGAGATGGATAGGAGGGGACATTAGAGTGTCAGCTCCTGTGGTACAGAGACGGATAGGAGGGGCCATTAGAGTGTAAGCTCCTGTGGTACAGAGACTGATAGGAGGGGACATTAGAGTGTAAGCTCCTGAGGTACAGAGACGGATAGGAGGGGACATTAGAGTGTCAGCTCCTGTGGTACAGAGACGGATAGGAGGGGACATTAGAGTGTAAGCTCCTGTGGTACAGAGACGGATAGGAAGGGACATTAGAGTGTAAGCTCCTCTGGTACAGAGATGGATAGGAGGGGACATTAGAGTGTAAGCTCTGTGGTACAGAGATGGATAGGAGGGGACATTAGAGTGTAAGCTCCTCTGGTACAGAGATGGATAGGAGGGGACATTAGAGTGTAAGCTCCTGTGGTACAGAGATGGATAGGAGGGGACATTAGAGTGTAAGCTCCTGTGGTACAGAGATGGATAGGAGGGGACATTAGAGTGTCAGCTCCTGTGGTACAGAGATGGATAGGAGGGGACATTAGAGTGTAAGCTCCTGTGGTACAGAGATGGATAGGAGGGAACATTAGAGTGTAAGCTCCTGTGGTACAGAGATGGATAGGAGGGGACATTAAAGTGTAAGCTCCTGTGGTACAGAGACGGATAGGAAGGGACATTAGAGTGTAAGCTCCTCTGGTACAGAGATGGATAGGAGGGGACATTAGAGTGTAAGCTCTGTGGTACAGAGATGGATAGGAGGGGACATTAGAGTGTCAGCTCCTCTGGTACAGAGACGGATAGGAGGGGACATTAGAGTGTAAGCTCCTGTGGTACAGAGATGGATAGGAGGGGACATTAGAGTGTAAGCTCTGTGGTACAGAGATGGATAGGAGGGGACATTAGAGTGTCAGCTCCTCTGGTACAGAGACGGATAGGAGGGGACATTAGAGTGTAAGCTCCTGTGGTACAGAGATGGATAGGAGGGGACATTAGAGTGTAAGCTCCTGTGGTACAGAGATGGATAGGAGGGGACATTAGAGTGTAAGCTCCTGTGGTACAGAGATGGATAGGAGGGGACATTAGAGTGTAAGCTCCTGTGGTACAGAGATGGATAGGAGGGAACATTAGAGTGTAAGCTCCTGTGGTACAGAGATGGATAGGAGGGGACATTAGAGTGTAAGCTCCTGTGGTACAGAGATGGATAGGAGGGGACATTAAAGTGTCAGCTCCTGTGGTACAGAGACGGATAGGAGGGGACATTAAAGTGTCAGCTCCTGTGGCGCTGATAGGAATGCAGGTTGGAAGCTCCGCCCATCACTGTATCTGGGGGCCCCTTTATTCTCTTCCTCCGTCTGTAGTTTTCGGTTCGTTTCGAGGTCTTCCTAAACTTTTCCAGTCTCTGACCTGACAGTATCCGGAGCTCTGAGCAGAGCGCGCGCGGCGTGGAACACGCGGGATAATTCAGTCGATGTGACTTTTTTCCCGATTCACTGAACCGTTCTATTTTTTGTGAATTAGTCGCTCCGAGACAACAGCATGTCACTTGCGAGGCGCACGTAGCCCCGGAGCCCGCGCCTCTCCTTCAGAACACAAATGGCGCTCACTTGGGAAATAAGTTCCCATTAAGCTCCGTGTTTCTCGGAATAACACGGCCGCGCTCCTCTACGCCGCGGACGGAACGTGCTTGGGCTGAGCTGCGTCCGCGCGGGGTTCCGGATCGATTGCTCCGTTCGGCCTCTTTCTCTGAGTTAAAGTTAAAGAGAGAAGGGAAAAAAAAAAAAACACAATCCGGAGTTCCGGGCGAAGTTTCAGGGACTCGCCGTACTCCGGCGGCAAGAAACGAGCGCGCTTAACATTTCCTCCACGTCCCCTTATTGTCTGGAAGGCGATACGCCGCAATTAATCTAGCGCACCTAACAGGATTCAAACCGCTCACTTTTAATGAGATCCCAGAGGATCCTTATTAAGTGTCTGCCGAAGAAGAGGCGCGCAATTCTCACCCTCCGCCAATCGCAGCGCGCCGCCCCTCTAACTTACAGTTCTGCTGACAGCGGCAATTCTTTCTTCTTCTTTTTTTTTTTTTTTTTCTCTTTTGAATTTTTTATAGGTTTAATAGCGGCGCGGCGGTGAGAAGGATCGCGCCGGACGGCACAATGGAGGACGCCTTTGGCTGCGTTCAAACTGAGGCGCGATGGAAAACGAGTGTTTCTGCAAAAGCTCGACAAACGAGCCAAGACGCACAATGCGCTTGTGTCGCCCTTATTTCTTAATGGCGCCCCAAATGCGGGCAGCGGTTGCGCATTTTTCAAAATGTTTTCGCTGCGACAAAACATGCAAATAATTGCAGCGCAAAACGCACTCGGCACGTGTGGTACATGAGCTTCTCTAGCGTGTTTTTGGAGGAGAGAGAGAGGCCCATTCAAAACGCACTAAAAAAATACATTGGGTTACTATCAGAGTGCCTCCTTACATCAGGTGTCCCCATCAGAGTGCCTCCATCAGAGTGCCCCCTTACATCAGAGTCCCTGTTAGAGTGCCCCTTACATCAGAGTCCCTGTTAGAGTGCCCCTTACATCACGGTCCCTATCATATTCCCTACTTACATCAGAGTCCCTATCAGAGTGTCACTTTCATCAGGATCCCTATCAGAGTGTCCCCTTACAGCAGAGTCCCTATCAGAGTGCCCCCCTACATCAGGGTTGCCATCAGAGGCCCCCTTTACATCAGGGTCCCTAGCAGAGTGCTCCCCTACATCAGGATCCCTATCAGAGTGCTCCTTACATCAGTGTCCCAAGCAGAGTGCCCCCTTACATCAGGATCCCTAGCAGAGTGCCCCCGTACATCAGAGTCCCTATCATAGTGCCCCTTATATCAGTGTCCCTATCAGAGTGCCCCCCTAAATCAGGTGCCCCATCAGAGTCCCACCTTACATCAGGGTCCCTAGTAGAGTGCCACTCTAAAACAGGGTCTCTATCTGAGTGCCCCCTTACATCAGGTGTCCCCATCAGAGTGCCCCCTTACATCAGGATCCCTAGCAGAGTGCCCCCCTACATCAGGGTCTCTATCAGAGTCCCCATCAGAGTGCCCCCCCTTACATCAGGGTCACTCTAAATCAGGGTCCCTGTCTGAGTGCCCCCTTACATCAGATGTCCCCTACAGAGTTCCCCCTTACACCAGGTGTCCCATTAAAATGTCCCCTTACATCAGAGTCCCCATCAGAGTGCCCCCTTACATCAGGTGTCCCATCACAGTGCCCCCTTATGTGTGATCAGTTATCCCCAGTAGAGTGTCCCCTTACATCAGAGTCCCCATCAGAGTGCCCCCTTACATCAGGTTTCCCCATCAGAGTCCCCCTTACATCAGGTTTCCCCATCAGAGTCCCCCTTACATCAGGTTTCCCCATCAGAGTCCCCCTTACATCATGTTTCCCCATCAGAGTGCCCCCTTACATCAGGTTTCCCCATCAGAGTGCCCCCCTTACATCAGGTTTCCCCATCAGAGTGCCCCCTTACATCAGGTTTCCCCATCAGAGTCCCCCTTACGTCAGGTTTCCCCATCAGAGTCCCCCTTACATCAGGTTTCCCCATCAGAGTGCCCCCTTAAATCAGGTTTCCCCATCAGAGTGCCCCCTTACATCAGGTTTCCCCATCAGAGTGCTCCTTACATCAGGTTTCTCCATCAGAGTCCCCCTTACATCAGGTTTCTCCATCAGAGTTCCCCTTACATCAGGTTTCCCCATCAGATTCCCCCTTACATCAGGTTTCCCCATCAGAGTGCCCCCTTAAATCAGGTTTCCCCATCAGAGTTATCCTTACATCAGGTTTCCCCATCAGAGTTCCCCTTACATCAGGTTTCCCCATCAGAGTGCCTCTTTACATCAGGCTTCCCCATCAGAGTCCCCCTTACATCATGTTTCCCCATCAGAGTGCCCCCTTACATCAGGTTTCCCCATCAGAGTCCCCCTTACATCAGGTTTCCCCATCAGAGTGCCCCCTTACATCAGGTTTCCCCATCAGAGTCCCCCTTACATCAGGTTTCTCCATCAGAGTCCCCCTTACGTCAGGTTTCCCTATCAGATTCCCCCTTACATCAGGTTTCCCCATCAGAGTGCCCCCTTAAATCAGGTTTCTCCATCAGAGTCCCCCCTTACATCAGGTTTCTCCATCAGAGTCCCCCTTACATCAGGTTTCCCCATCAGATTCCCCCTTACATCAGGTTTCCCCATCAGAGTGCCCCCTTAAATCAGGTTTCCCCATCAGAGTCCCCCTTACATCAGGTTTCCCCATCAGAGTGCCTCTTTACATCAGGCTTCCCCATCAGAGTCCCCCTTACATCAGGTTTCCCCATCAGAGTCCCCCTTACATCAGGGTTCCCCATCAGAGTGCCCCTTACATAAACTGTCTGCGTCAGACTGGCTCATGGATCAGTGGATGTACTCTCAGAGTCCTGGGGGGGGGGGGCACAGCTACAATCTGGGGGGGTTCAACGCCTCCCCCCAGCACTCCTCCAGGTCCGGCCCTGTTGTTCACCCAAAAACCCAAGAAGTTTTGAAGAAAAGAAAAAAACAAAAACTTCCCTTTAGGGTCTGTCCACATTTGCTCATTTCGGGGATTCGGGTCCCGCAGACTCGCTATCTTCTGTGCGCCATTCGTTCCCAGCGCACCAGCATTCCACATGCATCAGCCAACGCAGGCGCGCTCAGTCACACCGCAACACATGGTGACCTAAAGCCGCTCGTTTTAGTGCGTCTTAACGTTTAAAAAGGCGCCAGCTCTTCTGTGGTGCGATTGTCATACGTGGGTCAGGCCATTCAAATAAATGGGCTGTTCTAAACGCGACAAACCTAAACGCACAAAAGTGCGTGCAAACCGCTGCGCCTGTGTAGGTGTGAACAGACGCTAAGACCCTCTTCAGATTCCGCGATTTGAAGTCGCAGTAGAACGCACAACACGTGCTTGGCTTCCATTATTTTTTAATGACACCGCAAATGGGGTGGGATTCTCCCGCGACTGTCGCGCGACAGGATCGCCACGATGCTACCTGCGATTCCAAATCGCGTGGCAGCCACAGCGCAACGTGCGGCGATCACTTGGGTGACATCAGGGGTGGACTGACCATTCGAACACTTGGGCACTGCCCGAGGGCCCGGGGTCAGTAGGGGGCCCCATGAGATGCCCCTGGAACCTTTCATTGGCTTTTTAATAGGCTTTTTTGGGTGTGTTGGTGAGGACACAGGGGCCCCATGATCCCCTATTGCCCGGGGGCCCCATGAGCTGTCAGTCCGCAACTGGGTGACATTATCCTTCAACGGCACCTCAAACATGATGCGATTCTGACACGATTGTTGCTCGACAATCACAGCAAACCGCTCCTTTAAAAATCGCGTGAAGCTTGTCGCCAAAACAGGAGCTTCTTTTCAGGTGACAAACACGCATAGGGCAGCCCATTCATAGTAGGGCCCCCTATATATGGGACGCGCAGAATCGCATCAAAATCGCGGCATCAAAATCGTGCAGCGGGTACGTGAATGGGGGCCTAAAAAAAGGGGGTAAGCTTGTCACCCCCAAAAAGTTGCAGGAGTTTCCTTTGGGTGACAAGGTGAATGGGCTGCGCTATGCGTGACACGTGAAAATCGCGCAACATAAAATGCGAGCGGGAACGCCCATTCCCCGCTATGCGATAGGCAAATGAGGCCTAGAAGCTGAGATTGTCACGAAACCTCCCGGGGCCTGAAATGGCGGCCGACGTAACGCAAAAGTTCCAGAACTCGGCAGCACGGATGGGTGGAGCTTGGCGCATATATCATTGTTACATTGTTCCTTTTTTCAGGGTGAATTGATCTTTTTATCGCCCGTTTTTAATGTCCGTACTTATAATTCACGACGCCAGCGATCTAATTGGGGGGAAAGCACTTCGTTAGTTAAGGGGGGTCCTCAGACGGCGGAGCGCTCCGAGGGGCAGAACTGCGTGCAGCAGAAGGTCATACCTCATGCGCAGTCAGCTGCGTTCCCGGCCCCCGGGGACCGGCCAATCAATGTCTTTTGACTTCAGCCCGGTCCGTGAATCCATTAAACTTCCTGCCTCAGAATTAAACGCTCTCTGGGCGGCTCAGATAGAAATTAGCCGCGACTTAGAGCCTCGCCTTGGCCGAGCGCCAGGCCGCCGAATTAATAGGACACCGGCGCCTCCCAGGTGTTAAATCCCATTTGTTGGGGGGGGGGGGAATCCGTATAATGGCGTACCGCAGCGTTGACCCCTCGTACCCCTCTTCATCGGAAGATCGCACATTTAAAAAAAAAAATCGCCTGTTCAAAGAGAGCGGAGAGATTCGTAACGACCATCATTCCTTTCCCGCGCAAAAAAAAAAAACCGACCGACGCGCTGCCACCTTCATTAATACATGTAATTACAACTGTTTAAAGTGACAGTTTTACATTTTGATGCCGCGGGTCGTATTCAGCCGAGAAAAAAGTGCGCAGCAAACTGCAGCAGCCAATCAGAAATCGTCTACACTCTTTACTCTCCAACTGTTTTATTGCAGAATTCTCCAAAAATATATATATATATTACTGTGCAAAAGTTTTAGGCAGGTGTGAAGAAATGCTGTCAAGTGGGAATGCTTCCAAAAACATGTATTTCAATTGTTTATTTTTATCAATTTACAAAATTCAAAGTGAGCAAACGGAAGAAAAAATCTAAATCCAATCAATATTTGGTGTGACGACCTTTTGTAAGGGATTTCCGGCGAAGAGAATCGCGTTCGGGAACGCGCATGCGCGCGAAAGAGACTCCGCAGAAGAGCCGCCGGTTGTGCGCAGGTGCGCAGGAGTGCGCGATCGCGCACATGCACGCACACGTGCACACGCACGGCGAAGATTGGCGCCAGACGGGCTATTTAAAGAGGCCCCCTACTCTGGTTCAGTGCTGAATGGTCTTCAGCTCCCCCCTGTGTCCTGCTTACTCCCGTTTCCTTGTTGCTGACCCGGCTTGGTCCTGACCCGACTCCGATTACTCTCCTGCTCCCGGTTCCTGACTTTGGCTTTTCTTACTGATTCTGTTCCGCGCTGCCCGACTGTTGATGACCCCGGCTATCCTATGACCCTGTTTCTGTCCTGTGTCCTGGCTACCTACATTGCTCTGCTGCACATCGGGCATTACCCAGAACCTCACATCGGGCATTACCCAGAACCTCACATCGGGCATTACCCAGAACCTCACATCGGGCATTACCCAGAACCTCACATCAGGCATTACCCAGAACCTCACATCGGGCATTACCCAGAACCTCACATCGGCATTACCCAGAATCTCACATCGGGCATTACCCAGAACCTCACATCGGGCATTACCCAGAACCTCACATCGGGCATTACCCAGAACCTCACATCAGGCATTACCCAGAATCTCACATCGGGCATTACCCAGAGCCTCACATCGGGCATTACCCAGAACCTCACATCAGGCATTACCCAGAACCTCACATCGGGCATTACCCAGAGCCTCACATCGGGCATTACCCAGAACCTCACATCGGGCATACCCAGAACCTCACATCGGGCATTACCCAGAACCTCACATCGGGCATTACCCAGAACCTCACATCGGGCATTACCCAGAACCTCACATCGGGCATTACCCAGAACCTCATATCGGGCATTACCCAGAACCTCACATCGGGCATTACCCAGAACCTCACATCAGGCATTACCCAGAACCTCACATCGGTGGTGGGGGCATTACCCAGAACCTCACATCAGGCATTACCCAGAACCTCACATCAGGCATTACCCAGAACCTCACATCGGGCATTACCCAGAACCTCACATCGGGCATTACCCAGAACCTCACATCGGGCATTACCCAGAACCTTGTCTGTCTGCTACTACGGTACCCAAATCAGAGGATACTCTGCCTACCAAGGTCATCATCTGCAAGAGCCGCAAGCAACAACCACTGGCGCTCTTGTCCCCCCGGTCCCTAGACTCCCTCTGTTCCAACCTCAGCGGGGTCAGGGCTAGTGACACAAGTGAGGCCGACCTCGTCAATTCAGTCTCCTATCAGGTAGGTGACACCTTTGATTTCAAGCCAGCATCAATTTTTACACTCCGCACAAAGTCAGGGATTTCGTAGGATTAGAGTCAGGCGAATGGTTAGCTGGTCATACTAAGCAGGCGCTAATGATCATCAATTTCACGTGTAGGCTGAAACACAGTCGGTAACAAATAGAAACAGCAGTGTAGGAGGCTTGAAACTGGGGAAGGAACAGCCAAACTCTGCTACTAAGGTGAGGTTGTGGAAGACAGTTTCAGGTCACAGATCATACACCGTGGCGAGACTGAGCACAGCAACAAGACGCAAGGTAGTTATACTGCATCAGCAAGATCTATCCCAAGCAGAGATTTCAAAGCAGACTGGGGGGGGGGTTCAAGATGTGCTATTTAAGCTCTTTTGAAGAAGCACAAAGAAACGGGTAAAGTAACATTGAGGACGGTAGACGTAGTAGTCGGATAACACTGAGGAGTGTAGATGCAGTGGTCGGGTAACAGTGAGGAGTGTAGACGCAGTGGTCGGGTAACAGTGAGGAGTGTAGACGCAGTGGTCGGGTAACATTGAGGAGTGTAGACGCAGTGGTCGGGTAACATTGAGGAGTGTAGACGCAGTGA